CATATGTTGCGTATCTGGTTTTGTTCTTAAAACCGGGTGCTACATGTTGCTTTATATTTCACATGCGTTTTACATTTCAGTTGTTGTGTTGCCCTTATACTCATGCGTTTTACATTCTGTTGTGGGGTTGCCTTTACTTTTCGTGTGTGTTCTATATTTCTGTTGTGGTGTTAAATTTACATTCCGCACTATTTATATTTCACGCGTTGTTTATATTCCACGTGTTATTTATATTCGCGATGCTATTTATATTTCACGTGACATTTATATTTCGTGTTGTGTTTATTTAAGTTGTTGTGATGCTTAAATTTTCTATGCACCTCAATGTTACGTTGTTGTACTGTCGAAATATATTTTATAAAGCTGGTGTTGGGACGGCAATCATATTGTGCTAGTCATGGTACATGAATGGGACTGTCTGAGTTCTCCAATGGGGATGGCTCTTGCTCCGAACAGGGTGCTTGATGATGGATCCGTAGGAGCGACCATGCACTAGTAAGTCAAGAGATGGGATTCCCATAGGACCAAAGAGCTCTGCTCTTGGAACATGCATGTGGGCATGGTGTTCTATTACAGGTCGTTGATGTCTGTGTACCCCTAAGTGTAAAATTTTACCCCTTGACACCCAGGTTGGGAAGTTTGCGGTCATGTGTGGCACCAGTTTAAACTATTGTTTGTTCTCAAAATGTTGTCGATATGATGTGTTAAATATTTCTTGCTTCTGCGCATTTGTTGATTTTGTTAATATCATGTATCTGTTTGTTGAGTATGATCCATCGTACTCACCCTTGCTTGTATTTCTGTTTTTGCAGCTTATGTAAATGGACTGAGCTAGGCGGGAAGGGGAACGACTAGATATATAGTTTTAGCAGTAGTAGAATACTAGTACTTTTAATCATGTAAAATGTGCCAAAAATATGAATCAATAAAGAAGAATGATTTTTGATCCACTTCTCATCTGTGTTTATTATATGCCTTGCAGGGTTATAAATTAACTTTTATAACCGTGCGGCGGCTGTCCCATCTAGGCCCTGGTTGGGGGCGTGACAGCAGCGTAACTACTCCATCCTCCTTCTCCACCCCGACCTAGCACCAGATCCCGTTTGTGCAGTGCTCCGTCCGCCCACCCACCTGTCAAGGTTTGCTAAAAGCGCATGTTGCAAGTGTATGTTTCAAGTATTTTACATATGTTGCAAGTGTGTTTATCTAGATATTGCATATGTTTCACACATATGTTGCTAGTGTTTTATATGGATGTTGCATATGTTTTTGTAATGGCTTTTCAATTATTTTCATGTTTTTTGCAAGTGTTTCAGACGCATGTTCCAAGTGGGTCATCTGTCTTCGGAAGTATGTTCCAAATGTTCCATTTGGATTTTTTCGAAGTAGATCAGGTGCTTCACATGCTATAATGGCGTCGCCGCTGGCTGGCGGACAACGGCCTTCCATAGGGCTTCGGTTCCTTCCTTGTGCGGTGCGCCTTGCGATTACCTCCCTCCCCTCCCTTCTTTTCTCCTCCCTTCCCTTCCCTTCCCTCCATCTCGACGCGGCTGTTCGAGCTCGGCGAGCGCGATGACGCGGACGCCCGACTAGCGCGCTGCCTACGGATGTGGTGTCCCCAGGTGGGCCGGCAGCGGGCATGATGCTCGCATGGTGGCCCTGCAGCAAGCTGAGGTCTACACCATCAGCCATGCGGAAACAGAGCATCCACGGGCATCCAGACATCCGGGCGCTAGTCGTGCCGATACTTATATCGCCAACAAGTTCCTCACATGTAAATCCATTCTTATTACAAGCTTTGGAGGTAGAAATTATGACAAAGCCTCACTTTGACCATAATTAATCTACTTTTCATTTTCGCAAAAAAAAATTAATCTACTTTTCAGGCGACCAAAACATGCAATCCACAAACTATGCCGTGCCTTCTTGTGCCGCGTGTGCATGCCTATTGCGTTAGGCGGCCTAGGTTCCTAAACCTCAAGGTCCTAAGGCTCAGGTTTGTGATGGTGTGTTGTTAATTAACGCCTTGCTTAGATCACCTCCGAATTCCAAGTTTTTTAACTCTCTCCATCACATCAATTTTTGGACGCATGCATGGAGCATTAAATGTAGGTAAAAAAAATAATTAATTACATAGTTTGGTTGTAAATCACGAGATAGATCTTTTGAGCCTAGTTAGTCCATAATCGGACAAAGTTTGTCAAATACAAACGAAATGTGCTACAGTGTCCAGGTTGCAAAAATTTACAATCTAAACAAGACCTAAATCATACAGACCCCAAATGATATCGTAGAACGATCTTTTGGAACAGCAGTTGCCCACTACTTGTTCAAAAATGTTGTATGCGTTTTGTTAAGTGAATAGTTTATCTTTTTTATTTGTTTATAATTGTTGACAACCAAAAGTGGCAAAAGTGTATAATGGACTTCGTCATTATGTTTCTATCGTCAAGACATTCAGAAAACATATATGGATCATCCCATTTGGAGCCCGGACGAAGAAATAGTGTTTTGGGGTCCCGGCCTTCTGGAACTGGCCAGGCCAGTTCCCAGGCTGGTTTGGATAAGTTCCTCAAATGCATGATTTGATTGCACCATTGCATTCCATTCATCGAGCTGATCGAAAAAAATATATATGGTTTGCTTCTCGTTTGGAGTCCAAATAAATTAATTACAATTTTTGAAAGATTTTCTGCACCGAACTGCAGCAGAACCGGCCAGGCTGGTTTGGGAACCGGCCAGGCCGGTTTGAACCAGCTAGGCCAGTTTGCCTGCATCTGTGGCTGCCTAAGCCCCATGAAAATCGGCCTAGCCGGTTTGGGGACCGGATAGGCCAGTTTGCCCGTACAAGTCCGACCCAAACTTTATTTTGGTTGAGATTTAGATGTATTTTCGTATAGGAAACTTGGAGATCATGATCTGGAATTATTTTTTATTGGGATAAGACCACTCCCTCTATATATATGAGAGAATCACGGGCGATTGAAGGATTCAACACTCAATTGTCAAAATAAATCTACAAACTCTATTTACCCTCTTTTCCAAACCCATGATGTTCATCCCATAATCCGATGACTAAGGGTGGCGTCCTAGGCTTGTCGGCCGATCTAGGGTAATCCGGCAACGTCCTTGCCCCGACAGGGGGTTTCTCCTGGGCGAGAGCTTCGACGGTTCCTTTGCTAGTTTGTCTAGAAACTAGCCGGTTCTTTGTCACATAAGCACGCTGGTTATCCTTTGGTGGTTTGCTTGTAATGTTGAGGTTCTTCGGTCCGTGGTGGCCCTAGTGTCCAAAGCCCTGCTGATGTGTGATTCGAACCACATCCGACGTCAACAATAATATATTTTTAGGTTAAACTAAAGCTCTTTTTGGATGTACCAGGACTAGTTGTTAGCCATGGAAGCCAACTAGTTATTAATACTAACTTGTTTGGATCCCAAACTAATTGTTGGGTTCTGTAGACTAGAACTAGTTGTTAGCCCTGATAATTAGATTCTATGAACTAATGAACTAACAACTAGTTGGGACTAAGCTAAACTTTAGCCCACCAAATAGTCCTCATGTTTTGATCATCAAGGTCAAGGGATCCAAACAGGGTATAATCTAGGTATCTAACTCTCGATATGGTGCCAAAGACAGAGGTCTCGAATATGAATATCATTAGGTGTGAATAAATAAATCTATCTCCTCTTTTTAGGTTTGTGATCTGAGTAAAAACTTGTGTCAATGTTTTAGATTCAACTGATTAATAAATACAACTCACCGTATGCTTGTCTACTATACGATTAATGTTGGATTGGCGCCGGTTTCACGGCGACGTCATCTTGTTTGCCGCAATAACTACCGTCTCTGTCCCAAATCTGTCTTAAAATACCTTCAATTAAAATAATAAATAAAGAACATTAGACAGATTAACGAGGAATTCAAAAATGATAAAATACTCTTATTTATTAGACGATTTCTTATAAAAGTACTGTTTGTCTCACACATAACGGGCTCGTGAAGCTATATATAATTAAGTATTTTGAAGCATTTCCAGAGGACACAACGCGAAGTATTGTGGAATAAATTTTAAACTTAGAATCATAAGTTTTTTCACGAATATTTATTTTCTCTAATACTTTGTCTTCGTTTTTTCTTTTGTTTCTTTGCTATAGGTCTCCCTATATGTTTGCATAGGTCCCACCCTTTTGGTTTACTATTTCTTGCAATCGGTTTACTTCATGCAACTTGCAAGAAGTGGTCGAAAATTTTACGTATAATCAGTCACATACACATAGCATAGTTTTTTTTTCATATTTATTTGTTGATAACATCATGTTAAGGTTTATTTGTCAAACTACTCCCTCCATCTAAAAAGTACCACCATTTTCGATATTTTGAGTTTTTTAGGTACATTTCTTTCTAGACATAGAACATATTATCTAGAAAAATCAAAATTTTTATAATTTAGAATCATATCTAGAAAATTCACAATGTTTTACAATTTGGAATGAAGGAGAGTTAACATTCATAAAAGTAGTTCCATTTATCATATTAAATAAATGTGATCAGATTATATTTTCATAACAAATCTAATAAATTTTTGATACTGTTCTATAAATTAGTCATATCTAGGAGGCTCAAAATCTAAAATTGTGTTCTTATTTTTAGAATTTTATTTAAAAGAGGTATCTTGCTGTTTTGCATTAGCAGTAACTGAGAGGTTATTACTATACACAGATAGTGCCACTCGCATGCACTGTATATACTTTTAATTGAAGAAAAACGATGTAGCATTGACAGCATAAACAGTACACGGACCAAGTTATAGTACATACGTACAAACTCAGCTCACACCACACACAAGTGGAAATTGTCCCCGTCACACGAGCGGTCGTGTGGTCAAGGATAGGGACACTTATCATCATGGGTCATCTTATTATCTATGGACCACCGTACGTACGTGACAGTAATTAAGTACGGCTTTCAAACGCCAGGAAGCCAACGCAGGCACGGACGATTAGTGCTGTCCGGGCAGCTTCTCCTTGATCTTGTCCATGATGCCTTTCTTCTCGCTCTCGCCGGTGCCCTCGGTACCGTAGGTTCCGCCGGTGTGTCCCTGCTGCCCGCAGGCGCCGCCTGTCGCCGTGGCGTGCTGGTTGTCCTTGTGGCCTCCGGGCAGCTTCTCCTTGATCTTCTCCTTGATTCCCTTCTTCCTCCTTCCGCCCATGCCGTCGTCCTCAGACTTTTCACAAAACCATATATTATAACATTTAGCACCATGAAGCAGCGTATATAGAATAGAAAAAGAAAAAATTATCCAAGTAATTACATACCGAGCTGGAGCTGGAGCTGCCGGAGCGATGCAGGATGCCGCCGGCCTTGTGCTCCTCCCTCGCTGGCTGGAACTGCCCGCCACCCATGCCAGCGCCGCCGGTTCCGGTTCCGGTTCCTGTACCGTACCCCATGCCTCCGGTTCCGGTGGTGCCGTGCACGACGCCGCCGCCGACTGGGTTACCGTACTGGTCGACACGGCCCGTGGTGCCGTGGCCGTACTGCCCCTGCTGACCGTGCTCCATGCTGCGTGGTTGGTTTCCCTCAGCAAGATATTGTCCCGAAGCTAAGCTAGAGCTGTGCGTGCTTGTTGTGTGCTCGTGTTTTCGCAGTGGCTCACCGGTGGTGAAGCAGGTGTGAAGACCGACGCCGCCATTTAAAGGCGGCAGGCGGCAGGAGGCAAAAGGATTAGGATCTGGACGCCACGGCAGAGGGGGTGTACGTGGGCATGCATGAGTGCGTCGGTGGCGCTGGCGCCACGTCTCGGTTTTTCTGGAAAGATGGGTACGCGTGCAAATACAATTCGGCTCTCGTTACCTGTGCTCATCCATCATTCATTGCAGTGCAGGCAGGCTGTCGGTCGGTCAGCCGGTCAGGATGAATGGGCCTGTTGGGCTGCAGCCGCAGCCGGCTGCGGGCTCAATTAGACCCAGTACACCTACGTGTAGGTGCTCCAGAAAAGTAGAGAGGCTCGTACAACTACAGGCTCACGCACACTACTCTACAGCGGATTATAGACAGGCCGTTTGATTGGTTTGTTTATTTCGTTGCTGGTTCATGAAAAAGTATCGTTGACTGATTTATGTGAGAGAAAAATATTATTCTAACTAAAAATTTACGATCGTTTACGACAAACCACGGCTAAACGAATAGGCTGAGAATAATTTTTTTTTTTTTTTAGCTGAGCCCAAACTGTGGACGCGGACTAATCGGCAACGTCCCAGCCCCAAGGTAACCCGTTGCATCGTATGGCTCAATTATTAACTGGTAATAACTCGCCTTCCAACCAGCATTGGCCATGTCTCCTAAATCACCGTTCATAAACATCGCTAAGTGCCGTTGTATATTTTACTGACCACGAACCATCGTGCCACTCTATTTGGTTCGTCCTCCGCCGGCTGATCCCGTCCGAATGGGCGATGGCAACGGCGGCGGTTCGCCCATTCGGCGGGATCAGCCGGCGGAGGACGAACCAAATGCTTTCATCGTCAACACCGACGACACCTTCATCACAGCTCGTTGACTGCTGGGCGCGCGCCATGGCCGGCGGTTGTGCAGATCACCGGCGGGGGCAGATCCGCGTGTGGCGGCCTGGCCGATGTTCGCCCGCTGCCGGATCTAGGGCCAGGCGGACCTCCTGTTGCAGTTCGACGTGTGAGCGCCACCTCCGGTCATGCGCGACGGCGGCCCACTCGCGTGAGCGCCCGTGCACGGGAGAAGAGCGACACCAGCCTCGCCGCGCCGTCGCCTGTTGTGCCTTTCGTTGGCTCGTCACCGTGGGCGCGTCGCCGGCACTGAAGGGATGCCTGGTAACCAACTTGCCATAGCACTAGCACGGCAGCTGCAGTGGCCCTTCTCACCTTCCTCTTTGCGTTTTGCAGATCCATGGTTCTGCGAGGTCAGTCAACGAGCAATGCAATGCCATAGCAGAAATTCGGCATCTGCATGCAGATTCAGCATCCCCCCTTGATTTGTTCTGCTAGCTATCTCCGGTCTCACGCTCCGATCCATGCTATTCTTTTTAGGTCAAAATTTTTTGCCGTCATGCAGAGGCGATTTAGTTCGTCATTCTTTACCAGATCAACAGCTGCTGTTTGCAAGCTTGCCGCTGTGCATTGGGGGTTCATCTTCATGTTGGCAAGCCAAATATATCTCTTGAATGACGATTTTCCATAGTTTGTTTAGCCCCTGAACAATGTGAAATGTTAATGGTCAATGTGTAATCCAAAGCCATGGGAGAACCCCTTTTTTCTCTCAAATTTTGGATGCAAATACATTTTATTGATATTCCTACGTGTTCCTTGTTGGAATGTCAACCTCTAACTTGATTTTTCGTTGCATGTATGTCCAGACTGCTTGATTTTTTCGCTGCATGTATGTCCAGATTGGTTTCTCTACTGTGTAACTTGTTAAATACCAACTATCTTTCACTACCATACAATTCAATAATTTGCAGAAATCTCGTAAATAGATTATGTAACTACATGGTCAGAAATATATTTTAGTAAATCAATTTAAAAGTTTCTCGTGAATCATACTACAAGGGAGAAAGGCATAGATTCTAGTAAATATTTTTCAAAAATCTAGTAAATAGAATATCGTAACTACCAGGGGCAGAAAGACATATCTTCTAGTAACCAATTTGCAAATCTAGTAAACATATTATGGTAACTAATCTAAGGAGGCATCATATATTAATTCTAGTAAATCATTTAAAAATAACAAGATTATGGTATTGTGAATCAGACAGAATATCGTGACCCTACTCAATCATAGTTACTACAATGATCCTTTCCAGTTCTATCGAATATTTCATGGTAAAATTAATCTCATATTTCATGATAAATTCCCGTTGTACAAATTCCTATCCTAATTATCATCTCGAGACATTCAAAACACAGTAACTATTTTTATCGTAAAATGATCTAGATGTTATAGTAACCAGTTAACAGAAACCATTTGACGTCAATTTGTGGTAAATTTCCGTGCTAATTATCGTAACAAGATCATTTGCATTCGCCTGGAACATTTGCGTACTAATTATAGTAACTAGAATATATTTTCTACTTTTTTTGTGGACAAGGTATATTGGAGTAGTATTATCGTAACAAGAACATTTGCGCCTGGACAAATTAAGCGTGCTAATTATAGTAACTTTCAAGGTTCAAAAAAAATTATAGTAACTTGCATGCAGCGTGGTAATTATAGTAACTTGCATGCATGAAGCGCTCTGCCAGTAATCATGGCCTGTAATTTGCATGCATGCCGCAAGGTTGAATTACCGAAATCACCGTGAGCTAATTACGTGGGCGTCGCTCGGATTAATGCGCGTCGGACCAGGAGGCAGAAGCTCACCAGCCATGCAAGTGCCTGGACCCGATTCATGGGATGGTGGTGCGTCTGTTCGACCAGGCTACGAAATAAACTATTCTGTAGCTAGCTACAGTATACTCTCCCCATATATATATAGATATATATATATATATATATATATATATATAGAATAGAGATTCTATAACCATGTTGATTCTTCATAATTATTTATATCAATTTATGATAACATAAATATGCATTTAGATATTCGTGTTACTATAACTCATAATGATATTTACCAATTTATAGTAAATCATTGGTATGCATTACTCTAATCGGGTAAATTAGCATAGTAATTATAAGTATTCAAAGTGGCCACGATATTATTCTATGGCCGTAATGTTATAGTATATATATATATATATATATATATTATATATATATATATATATATATATATATATATATATATATATATATGTATCTCAATGTTAGTATTTTCTAGTTAAACCTTATAGCATTTGGTTTTTTGAAATGTGAGAACTGTATTTTCAAATGCTATAAGGTTTAAGTAGAAAATACTAACATTTATGATACATAATAAATATCATTTGCTTAATTTTATAAAATATACTTTCCTAATAAATTGATTTGGATAGATAAATGTGAAACTATTCAATGTAAATTTGATCATACTTGAACTATTTTAACGGACATAAATATTTTAGTTGCATTCTTTTATAGAGAGAGAGGGAGTATTATTATTACAACTAGCATGCAGCCATGCGCGCACTGCATATGCATGCATAAATGACCATCCTAGTTACTCTCTTCGTTCCAAAATAAATAAATATTATACGCATCTCTAGAAGTCAACTTGGAATATAAAAAAAATATCAATAAAAGAGTATCAATATTGTATCTCCAAACAAATTTATTATAAAAATATATATCATACTCAATGTAATGACACTAGTGTTACATCATAAATATCATACTAGTCTTAATGAAAGTTTCATGAAAATATCATCGACATTCAATAAGCTAACATATTTGTCGGGTTCGTAAACCCGGGGTCCCTCATGGATCGGCTTTCCAGCAAAGGCTCGGCCCAGCACACGACGTTGCGCAAACTCCTGGGCCGACCCAAATGCCTGAACAACAGGTCAGAAGGACGATCCAATCTCCGAGCGGAAGGCCTGGCCAAGGAGGAACGGCGCCCGCTTCCGACTCCGGCCCGCCTCTTCGACTAGAAGGCCTCGCTAAAAGAGGAACAACGCTTGCTTCCGACTCCGGGCCGCCTCTAGCCTGCCTCTCCGACCGGAAAGCCTGGTCAACACCACTTCCGACTTCGACTCGCGTCTTCGATCGGGGATACACCGAAACCCTGCTTACAGCTCTTCTCCGACTAGCGCAGTCGGAGCCGACTGGGACCAACCGACCGGGGATGCCCACTCGATAAGGACCAGGAAACGGACGGAGAAGGTAAGACAGGGGACTCAAGTCAACCACAATACTAAGGACCGTACCATGTACACCTGCAGGACGGTACCCTACAACCTTCCTGGCATGTTAGAACCCAAGCATGGTTGTGGGCGCCGACATTTTCCCTACAGTGTAGTGGGCGTCATCAACTCCCATACCAGACAAACACAGTAGGGCTCCCCCCACATGTCTCTGGGCATCAATAGTATTGTGGGCGGCGCATTTACCATACCAGGCGAACATGATAAAACCCCCTACATACCTCTAGGCATCAACAGTATGGCAGGCACCGACGTCTACCATACCAGAAGAAGACGACGCAACCTCCCACATGCATCTGACATTAACAGTGTTATGGGCACCTACAATCATCTTATACCCGACGACGTGGGCAACAAGACTTAGCATACATACACTCTTCCTCTCTCACTTGTAAGGCCATCCCCTTCATCTATAAAAGGGGATGCGCTCTCTCCCAAAAAAGGTACCCCAGAGTTCACTCACGCACAACAACAGAACCATTAGGTTCAAACCTCGAGCACACGCTCAAACACTCAGCGCACGTAGGAGCTCCCATCACTCTCGGCCCTTCAAACCAGAGTCCGACCGGGCCTCTTGCACCCCCCATCTTTCTCCCTTCCGTTTGTAACCCCACAGCAAACTTCGAGCACCTGGGCTCAGGAATAAAGTCATCGACAGACTCAAACTGGACGTAGGGCACGTTGCCTAAACCAGTATAAACCCTGTGTCATTGAGTGTTAGGCCACATCCGATCACAACGTACAATAAAACTACAAATATTTACGTGTTGGTCACTTTCTGCACCGACAGTTGGTGCCGTCCGTGGGGAGGATGTTGTACGTTCACACTTTTGGTCATCGGATGGCCCACTTTTCCACCATCCTCACCATGGCGGGCTCAAGTGATTCGACTCGCTTTGGCTCGCTGGAGTTTCCCGCACTCCCACCTATTGGGATGTGGGTTCCACCCGTCTTCAAGCCGTCCCAGGCCTTCCTCTTTGAAAGCCTGGACTTTGTCGCCAACCGGCTCGGCGTACTACACCTCCGCGAAGAGGCACTTGCTCCGGCACCAGTCGGAGGGGCACCCTCCATCGGCTCTGGGACACACGACGACTTCAACAACGACGCGCCTGCGCTTCATTCCGAGCAAATTCTCTGCTCAAACCCCGCTGTGAGTAATACACATACCGTTATTTACACGCTATTTACTATCTTCCGCCGATTATCCGGAGGGACCGCGTTGTCCGCACCGCAACCACCGCACGACCGGTTCCCCTACGACCTTGCGTCCCCCGTGGACGCGTACGCCCTGGGACTCCGAAAAATGCTGACGCCGCCTCCTCTCACATCCAAATTCGTGGGGATGGCGAGCTATGCTCCCACCTGTTTCTACGAACTCATAGATGACGAGGTTGAGAGTGACGGCTCCAGCATCGGTGACATGGCACCTAGCCACCGTCCGTCCCGGGAGTGCGCTATGGCGGACGCTCTGGGACAGCCGCTGGTGGTAGCGGAGTTCTTGCAGACTCACACCCCTTCGGACCCTCGTGCGGGGGCCCTTGTGCTCGCACAAGAGCATGCCGAGGAGCTACGACAACAGTGGCAGAACCAGCCGCCACCTACGCTGGCGCGCTCGGTGTAGCACGTTGCACCCCATGTGCGTAACCCGACGAGCGGCGCCTAGGGTTGCGCCCGCCAGGTCCAGCGCAACATCTTGGACAAG